CATAAATCTTTTCTGGAATATGAAAGGGGGACTTCAGGCTTGCCTGAGGGAATACCAGACTGTAAATTTTTTAAAAGACTGTTTTTAAAACTCAGCATCCTTATTCCCGCTGATGAGGTGGGGGTGGGGGGGGGGTCTCTTTTCTTTAATTGAAGGAGGCGCTCTCCAGTGTGTCTTTTCAGAAATGTGAACATGGCGTAGGGCCCAAGCGTCACATATGGCATATGGAAAAGAAATGTGTGTCATCCTTTCACTGAATGTGATATGTTAACCCAAGACTGACTGAACTCCCCACACTCCCCATTATTAAACATTTATTTCTGTACCAAATTAATTTGTAAACTGATCATGTTAACCAGCAGCTATGTTGAAGCAACTATGATCAACCAATTTACCATAAAGGACAACTTAACATTTAGTAAAACCCCCTAGCCAACTACAATCCACTGCACACACAACTCACTCTGCTATCCTACCCAACATTTGCAGCCAAAGCAGCCTGGCCAAGTCCTCTTCCTACTGCTCAGACAGCCATGGATATTAGATATTGGATAAGTCATACTTTGGGCAGCCTCCTGCCAATTGTAAGTTTCATAGGTGGCATTTCACCTTTACTTTAAGGCAAGTTCCACTAATGTCCTGCCATGTCTCTAAGTCAGAAAGTGAACGAAAATCTTCCCAGTGTGGACAAGACAGTAATAAGAACCTAGCAGGGGTTTAGACATTGAACACTTAAAGTAGTATTAAAAACTAGGTGTAAAAATGCATTTTTTCCTTTAGCAGCACATTACTATATATTATTGCCAGAACCTCTGGATCTTTCACCCCAGGAATTGCTCAAACTTTATTTTGCCCAAAGGGCTCACTTTTTGTTCCTATAAATCTCAGTGTCTTCACAGCAGTACCCCAAACTTTTAGCCAGAGAACTTTTCACTGCTAATATCAAGCACCAATTTGTTGTTCTACTTCTTTTGGCCTACGTGTCCCATATTCCCCTTGTACCCCCTGCCCATTTGCACATCAGCAACCTCCCTTCTACTGGTTGCTTCTTCTTCTTGCATGTCAGCAAACATTTCTAGGTGGGAGTATGCATGTGTGGTTGGCTTCATGGAGCTCCTGCAAGGGAATGGAGCCACCTCCAGGGCAGGGGTCTCCAAAATCTGTCCTAACAAAGAGCCAATTTACTTTCCATCAGACTTCAGGGGGCCAGACTGTGGCTGTTGAGAGTAGAAAATTCCCCTGCATCCGTGGGACTAAACAATGCATCAAGCTTGGAGGTCAGTGGGAATAAAGAAATTACATAGCACCTGTGGCAAAAAAGAAAAGGAAGAGTGCCGTATCAATGGTATTAGTGGGTGGAATAGTGCCCCAATGTTGGTGTCAATGGAAGGAATAGTGTACTATCTTTGGTGTCAGTGGGAGGCATTCTGCCCCATTGTTGGAGTCAGTGGAAGGAATCATGCCCCATCTTTGGTGTCTGCGAAAGGAATTATGCCCCATTGTTGGAGTCAGTGGATGGAATCGTACCCCATTCTTGGAGTCAAATAAAAAAAGGCAGAAAATATGCTCTGCCAGCTGTTTTATCTCAGCAGTGTAAGTCATCTTCATGTATTGATTTGCAATATATACACTATATTGCCAAAAGTATTGGGACGCCTGCCTTTACACACACATGAACTTCAATGGCATCCCAGTCTTAGTCTGTACAGTCTGGCCCACCCTTTGCAGCTATAACAGCTTCAACTCTTCTGGGAAGGCTGTCAACAAGGTTTAGGAGTGTGTCTATGGGAATATTTGACAATTCTGACAGAAGCGCATTTGTGAGGTCAAGCACTGATGTTGGACGAGAAGGCCTGGCTCGCATTCTCTGCTCTAATTCATCCCAAAAGTGTTCTATCGGGTAGAGGTCAGGACTCTGTGCAGGCCAGTCAAGTTCCTCCACCCCAAAGTTGGTCATCCATGTCTTTATGGACCTTGCTTTGTGCACTGGTGTGCAGTCATGTTGGAATAGGAAGGGGCCATCCCCAAACTGTTCCCACAAAGTTGGGAGCATGAAATTGTCCAAAATGTCTTGGTATGCTGATTCCCTAAGAGTTCCCTTCACTGGAACGAAGAGGCCAAGCCCAACCCCTGAAAAACAACCCCACACCATAACCGCCCCTCCACCAAACTTTACACTTGGCACAATGCAGTCAGGCAAATACTGTTCTTTCAACTGCCAAACCCAGACACGTCCATCAGATTTCCAGACAGAGAAACTTGATCCGTCACTCCAGAGGACACATCTCCCCTGCTCTATGTTCCAGTGGTGGCGTGCTTTACACCACTGCATCTGGCACTTTGCATTGCACTTGGTGATGTAAGGCTTGGATGCAGTCCGCTCAGCCATGGCAACCAATTTCATGAAGCTCTCTATGCACTGTTGTGCTAATCTGAAGGCCACACAAAATTTGGAGGTCTTTAGCTATTGACTCTGCAGACAGTTGGCGACTTCTGTGCACTGTGCACTTCAGCATGCACTGACCTCGCTCTGTCATTTTACATGGCCTACCACTTGGTGGCTGAGTTGCTGTTGTTCCCAGTTGCTTCCACTTTGTTATAATCCCACTAACAGTTGACCGTGGAATATCTCTTTGTAAGGAAATGTCACTGATGGACTTATTGCACAGGTGGCAACCTATCACGGTACCACGCTTGAATTCACTGCGCTCCTGAGAGCGACCCATTCTTTCACAAATGTTTGAAGAAGCAGTCTGCATGCCTAGGGGCTTGACTGTAAACACCTGTGGCCATGGTGGTGATTGGAACACCTGAATCCAATGATTTGGAGGGCTGGCCCAATACTTTTGGAAATATAGTGTGTGTATATATATATATATTAAAAAAAAGAGAAGAGATTGGAGAAGAGCATCTGCACCTCTTCCTCATCAGTGCCTGTTCCCAGTACATTGTACATTTTATGAGACTGCCTGAGGCTCAGTGCAAACTGCTCAGTTCCAGCTCTCCCAGCTCTGTGTCATAGATGTACATCAGCTAATGTGCGCAGCTGAGACTCCCACACAGACACACAGCGCATCAGACGTGTCCTGAGAGAGACATTATCACACTTACATGTCTCTCCCCATGCCTGGGACAGCAGGATTAAATATGTGACATTGGTATGTCAACAGCTGTGTATGTTTAAAGGTGAATTCCAGGAGAACAGATAACGGCACAGCTGAATGATATATATATATATATATATATATATAAATATATATATAAAAACAGAACCAGGCCAATGACCAATGAAGAAGTTGGACAGGCATCCTACTGTAAGCAGTGCATTGTTTGGCTCAACAAGACAGGGCCCCGCTTCGATGAGCTCTGCTGTACAGAGGACCCCAGGAAATCATGAGAAATTTTCCTTGCGTGAAACATCGGCATAGCAGCCCATTCAAATAAATTTGTATAAATACACTTTTTATTTTTAGCTTTTTTATATGTACCTAAATTAAAGCAGAAACTTCAAAAATCAACATAAAAATGAGTAGCTCATTAAAGATAAATTACCAAAAACCAGCTTTTGCTGTATAATTCGGCTTTAGGTTAGAGATTTCCCTTGCTTTACTTTTTTTCTGGCACTAGATGTTCCCAGCCTGATGGTCAGCCCTATTCAACCCACTTCCTCTCAACTCAGGTCTTCCTGAACCCACCCCCAGCCTGTGATTGGACAGTGAAAGGAGAAGCAGACACAATGGTGAGCTCATCTCTCTGTCATTCTGATTTCTGCTCCTATCAGCATGCTGCTTGCCAGCACATGGACTGATTGGCTCCCTGTGTGACTTCTTTCTCTCACACTCCAGCCCTGCTGTATAGGGACTGCAAGAGCCTAATAACAGGCCATATATAAGCACTTACACCTCTTGCATTTAAAAAATATATTTAATGAAGTATTAATTTAAAAAACTGCATTAATTTGTGTCTTTCATATGTGTCTGGGGTTCAGCTTTAAAGCTGAAACCCAAGGAAGATAAAAAAAAGACCAAAGTAATGCAGTTCTGTGTTAACCCCCCTGGAGGTATTCCCGAGTGTAGCTTGGGGTTAAGTTTCAGTACCAGAAGCGGTAACCCAAATTACACTGCAGCGTTGCTCTAGGATCCTTGGATCACTTACCTTGTCCCGCGGTCCCGCGCTGTCCTCCTGCTGTGTCCTCTCGGCCGATGCCGGGTTCCGTTCCCTTGCGAGCGTTGGGACGTACGGGGGCAGAACCGGCGGGAGATTCAAAAATGTCAAAATTTTACATACACATAATACACTAAAATCTGATAGTATTCAATTGCTGTATCAAACCATTTCACATATATTTTTTGTCCCAAATGCTTTGTCCTGTGCCCTGCCTGCATTTTTTACCGCTCTGCCTGCCTGGAAATAGAGAAATGTCCATGGCGTCCAAAAAGCGTCCCTTTACGTCAAAATCGGTTTTAGACCAGCTAAAGAACAGTGCTAGTAAATTAGAACCACTTGCAGAATTGAGTGATAATGATTTGTGGGGAAATTCGTCATCAGACACTGAAAACGATTTTGCGACTTTGCTCAGCGATGTGCGAACTTGGCGCTATATTTCAAATTTCAGTGTTTTTTGGTTTGATTACATTATTGAATAAAATGTATTATTATTATATTATTTTTTTTTATGATTTATTTATTATAATTTATGATTTTGTGTTTCAAATTTTAACATACTCGGGATGTTTACTAGGCTCTTCTTGGACAGATTTCAGTCAGTTATTCCTAAAAATTACAGGCCTACAATAAAAAAAACTACATATTTCCATTGAAAACAATGTACCGCTTTGAGCACAGAAATACTGACATAACCAGACCGCTAGGAGGTTAAATAACACATACCTAGATTAAACTTGGTATCAGCCTCTTGAAGTTCCTCTACAGCAGAACTCAGATTGGGATATGGGGAAGCAACACAAGGAGCCAGTCAGCTGTGCCGGAGTTCAAGGAGCATGCAGATAAGAAGAGACCAGCAGAGGGCTGACTGCAGAGCTACAGGGCTCTCAGTAGCAGGGGCGGACTGACAACTCATGGGGCCCCCGGCCAAAAGGGGATCATGGGGCCCCTGTGTCCTTGCCCAAACTCAAATAAGCCTATGAAAAATGTACCAGGGGCATCTCATGGGGCCCCCTACTGACTCCGGGCCCTCGGGCAGTGCCAGAGTTTCCAAATGGTCAGTCCGCCCCTGCTCAGTAGAGAGTATGTTGGACCTCTGTGGAGAGACCACTGCTTCCATTCACAAAGAGCAAGGGTCCTTCTCTGCAGCTGCAGGCAGGGGGCAGGCTTTTCTACTCAAGGCTGTGGCTGCTTTTAAAAAACAAATGTAACACTTTGATCACCTTTTGTTTTGATGTTATCGGAATGTATTTAGCTGATTTTTGCTGAGAATTCATTTATATGAAGAAGAGACAAAGTGATTCAGGTTAAAAAAGAGATAGTTGGGAGCTAAATCCGCATAGACAAAGGCAGAATCAGTACACTCCATACAGAGCATTCCCCCTGCAGCTTGTACTGCCTTGTAGAAGAAGCTAGAAAATGTAGCCAGGACTGTGTGACCAAGGTCTGACCCGTATCCGAGGATTCCCTTCATCCTCCTCTGGACCAGCAAAATCTCTGATTGGTTTACCTTGATGGATTGGGGCCATTTTTTCGGCCTCTCTAAAGGCAAAGCTGGATACCGCGGAGTGTATTAATAAAATAACACTAAATTCTCTGGCAGGGATAAATACGGTAATAGCACTTTGCATCGCAGGAAATGGAGCAGCTCCTGCATGTGACATTAATGGATGGCCTATGTGACATGACTGATAAGCTGTCTCTGCTAGAGAATTAAACTCAATTTAGCTGCAAATCTGTATAAAATTGGTTGGCACGTGTAGGAGACCATATTTCTTTCCTTAAATGCAATCTTATATAAATAACTAGTCCATAATATTCCTTTCTGAAGAAATGTTAGGAAAGCAGAACCCTTTTTTTAAATAATGTTTACTCTTAAAGCGTAACTGCACTTTTGTCATCCACATGTTACAATCATTCCTATATTGATTTTTCTTAATTCATTTGCATATGTTTGGGTTTTTAATCTTATTCCCAATGCTTTTTATAACTAAAATAAATGTGTCTATTTTCATTTAATAAAAAAAAAAATCATATTTAATTTTGAGATTTGTTTTGTTATGCAACCTATGGGTCTCATAATCATCACCTGTCATACTATAAGTCTCTATGACCATTATTGGTGATATCTAAACCAGGGGCGGACTGACAACTCATGGGGCCCCTGGACAATAGGGGATCATGGGGCCCCTGTGTCCTTGCCCAAACTCAAAAAAGCCTATGAAAAAGGTACCAGGGGCATCTCATGGGGCCCCTTACTGACTCCAGGCCCGAGTTTCCAAATGGTCAGTCCGCCCCTGATCTAAACATTTCTTTAAGCCATTTCTGTTTCCAATGGATTTTGATCTTTACATATATATAATATTATATATATATATATATATATATATATATGTGTATACACTCACCAAGCCACTTTATTAGGTTCAATTGCTTGTTAACACAAATTGCTAATCAGCCAATCACATAATCACATGGCAGCAACTCAATACGTTTAGGCATCTAGACGTGGTGAAGACGACTTGCTGAAGTTCAAACTGAGCATCAGAATCGGGAAGAAAGGGGACTTTGGTGACTTTGAACGTGGCATGGTTGTTGGTTCCAGACGGGCTGGTCTGCCTATTTCAAAAACTGCTGATCTACTGGGATTTTCACACACAACCATCTCTAGGGTTTAAAGAGAAAGAGAAAATATCCAGTGAGTGGCAGTAGTGTGAACAAAAATGCATTGTTCATGTCAGAGGTCAGAGGAGAATGGGCAGACTGGTTCCAGATGATAGAAAAGCAACAGTAACTCATGTCAATATGGACCAAAATCTCTGAGGAATGTTTCCAACACCTTGTTTAATCTATGCCATGAACAATTAAGGCAGTTCTGAAGGCAAAAGTAACAGTAACTCAAATAAGCACTTGTTACAACCAAGGTACGCAGAATACCATCTCTGAATGCACAACACATCGAACCTTGAAGCAGATGGGCTACAGCAGCAGAAGACCACACCGGGTGCAATCCTGTCAGGCTACAATTCGCACAAGCTCACTAAAATTGGACAATAGAAGAATGAAAAAATGTTGCCTGGTCTAATGAGTCTCAGTTTCCCTAGAGATGGTTGTGTGTAAAAATCCCAGTAGATCAGCAGTTTTTGAAATACTCAGACCAGCCTGTCTGGCACCAACAACCATGTCACGTTCAAAGTCACTTAAATCCCCTTTCTTCCCCATTCTGATGCTCGGTTTGAACTTCAGCAAGTCATCTTCATCATGTCTAGATGCCTAAATGCTTTGACTTACTGCCATGTGATTGGCTGATTAGCAATTTATGTTACCAAGCAATTGAACAGGTGTAACTAATAAAGTGGCCTGGTGAGGATAGATAGATAGATAGAGATAGATAGATAGATAGATAGATAGATACATAGATAGACAGACAGACACAGACAGACAGACAGACAGACAGACAGACAGACAGACAGACAGACAGACAGACAGACAGACAGACAGACAGATAGAGATAGATAGATAGATAGAGATAGATAGATAGATAGATAGATAGATAGATAGAGAGATATGAATTAAAACACCATAAAGGATAACATTACTTTTTTTAATGTTTTTGGATAGAGTGGAGATGGGTTACAACACCTGCCAGGTTTTTATCGCCGTCTGTGCCCCCATTAGGGAGATTCACCCTCTCTATATTTCTGTTTATTATTATCACCAAAAGCAGAAGTGAGGAAAATCCCAAATTTGGGGTTTTCACCAAAACAGGAATGGAGGGGAAATCACTCAAATGGGACTAGTTTTGGTGACAACCAGGGATTCCCTTACTTTGGAGGGATTTCCTCTCACTTCCTGTTTTGGCTGTGGGATAGGAAGTGAAGAGAAATCACCCCAATAGAACGCAAATAGCAAAAGAAAAAAACAAAAAACTGACAGGGGTTATAACCCAAACTTATTCTATAAAAAAATGCCTTTTGTTCTACTTTTATATGAATTGCAATAATATAGGAATCTCATGTTTAAAAGTGGTTTTCATATCTTTTTTAATAGCTTTGAAGAAAAGGGATATTTTTGGGCCCCTGAAACGCACTGACAGTTCTATGTTGTCTTTCTGGGAACCAGTATTAATATTAAAAGCCTTTGAAATGTCAGACCTTTCACTCGGACTTTGATACAAGAAATTTTTTGTCTGGCAAAACATCGGCAGGACAGGAATTGAGAGGGAATGTCTCTAAAGCCAGCCATACACAAGTAGATTTACCAACAAATGTTCCTATGTAAATTCATACGTAAATTTGTTTTAAAATTCTCAGTACATTTGATGATTTCAAAAATGTCTTTCTAAAATACTTCTAAATTTTGTTTTCTTTTAACATTCAATTTTGGAATCATTGGACTTTGCTGAACGAAAGCCACATACATTGTTAGAAATTAATTTGTTCAAGAATAAACTTCCATCCTGCTCCTTTGTATTTTCTCCTCAATGATTTGAAAATTAAATGAATGTTCTTCAAACTAAAAATTTTTAACAAAAATTCTAGTGTTGGCAAGCTTAACTGGACCTTGGGTCCTAATTCTTCCCCATACTATCCAAGACTAGGCAAAACGTTTCGGCTTGACATACACTGTAAGTGGAATTTACATATGTGTATTGCATAATTGTATTTATTTATATATATTTTTAAAACTAATTTAATATTAATTTGATTCTGCTACAATGTTAGTCTCATTTTTTCTGGTGGGCTACACATTGATTAGCCCTCATAATCTTTCTCCATGCCCTGTCCTCCCCAGAGGCATCTATGTGCTCCACTCAGGGGCGGACTGACAACTCATGTGGCTCCCGGGCAATAGGGGATTATGGGGCCCCTGTGTCCTTGCCCAAACTCAAAAAAGCCTATGAAAAAGGTACCAGGGGCATCTCATGGGGCCCCCTACTGACCCCGGGCCCTCGGGCAGTGCCCGAGTTTCCAAATGGTCAGTCCACCCCTGGCTCCACTGTGCATGCCTGCTATCTGCTGGCAGTGATAATAAGTTTGGGGTGTTAGGGGTGTTTCATTTCGTACACATCAAGATTACAGGGCTGGAAGACCACTCCCAGCAGCCAACAAAGCATGAAAAAGTGGGTAGGGCATAATAGACTGGGCAACGTGAAGTGGAAAAAAAAGTAATAGAATGAAAATGGGAAACGTGTAGCAAATATGAGACAAATAGAAACAACACCAAAGGAATACCGGCAGAAACAATATCAAGCAACATTTAAATGGCATACGACACGGAGCAGATGGCAGATCATCTATATCATCAGACTGCTATGAAATATATACATTGTTGGGATTATTTGTGATTCAGTGTTTCCTCCGCACTCCTATGAGGAGCCGACTTGGGGAATAGCTTTGCATATATCTTATAAATAATTGCATTACGTTTGCCCAAGACATGAATACGATTACACGCCAGGGCAAACTCAAGGGGCTCGGGTCTTCCCGGAAACTATACATCACTTTATGGCTTTATAAGACATTTTAGACAAGGCAGAGGAAAGTCATTTGATTCTGGGCTCAAGAGAACTTATAAAAATGTAACACTCACTTTACAGCGCCGCGGATCTTCTGAAGGCCGCTGTGCATTTAAATGTTTGTACGGGAATTACAGTGATGCGCCGGAGACAGCTCAGTGCGGGGGACTCGGCTTTAAAGTGCTCACTGAGCCAGTTCAGTGATTTATTTCCTCGTCAAAGGCGGGAGAAATTGGCTTGATAATTTTGTGTACATCAGATAAATCATCCCAAAAGGGTATTTCGGTTGTAAGAAAATGCAATGTGTCTGTCACCCATCTCACTAATGCACGGCAGAGATTGGCTTCACCGTGGGGCTCAAATTTACCAAAATCGAGGCAAAGATTTAATGTAAAAATGTATGTTCTTTGTAAATATTAAATTGTCGGAACCTTCGCCAGCCGCTCACCATGGGGATTCCACTCCACCCCTCCTGTTCCAAAATGTTCAGAATCTGCAGAGATAATTCAATAATTTGTAATGAGCAAAACTCCATTTTGTTTTTTTGGGTTTTTTTTTTTCAAGATCACCAGCAATCATTCCTTTTTGGCTATGAGGACATATTTGTTGATACAGACCTCATATCTGCCCACCACATTGTTTAAGAGATACAGATACAAGAAAGTGACATTGTACACCAGTCAGCTATAACTTTATGACTACACACCCTAATATTGGGTAGGTCCCCTTTTTGCTGCCAAAACAGCCCTGAGCTGTAGAGGCAAGGACTCCACTAGACCTCTGAAAGTATGCTGTGTATCTGGCACCAAGCCTTCAGTAGCAGATCCTTTAAGTCCTTTAAGTTGCAAGGTGGTGTCTCCATGGATCGTACTTGTTTTTCAAGCATATCCCACAAATGCTCGATTGGATGGAGATCTGGAGAATTTGGAGGTTAAGTCAACACCGCAGACTTCTTGTTGTGTTCCTCAAACTATTCTTTAACCATTTTAGCAGTGTGGAGGGGCACATTATCGTGCCGAAAGAGGCCACTGTCTTCAGGGAATACCATTTCTATGAAGGGTGTATTTGGTCAGCAACAATGTTTAGGTAAGTAGTATTAGGTAACATCCATATGAATGGCAGGACCCAAGGCTTTCCTGCAGAACATTGTCTGAAGCATCACACTGCTTCTTCCATAGTGTGTCCTGGTAATATCTGTTCGCCAGGTGAGCAATGCACACACACACCTGGCCATCCACATGATGTAAAAGAAAACATGATTCATCAGCCCAGGCTACCTTCTTCCATGGCTCCATGGTCCAATTCTGATGCTCAAATGCCCATCGTAGGTGCTTTTGGCTGCGGACATGGTTCAAAATGGGCACGCTGACTGGGCTACGGCTACGCATCCCGTCACACAACAAAATGCAATTCCCATTTTTTCTGCTTTCAACACATCAGCTTTCAGGGATAACATGTTTACTTGCTACCTAATATATCCCACCAACTTTCAGATGCAATTACGTTACAGCTGATCATCCTCATTTCACTAATATCCACAGGCAAGCATTGGCTACTGCTACCATAACTGACTGATACTTGGAAGCATTTTTTCCCCAATTAGAGAATGTTAAGGGTTGCTTTAAAGTCCAAATTTACCTTTTCACATACAGTATTCTACCTGGAAGGGATTTGCTTTATTCTTCTCTTTCCTCGTTTAAATTAACAACCTTTCTTTCCCTTATTATAATTCTATACTTTTCCAGGTCCTGACCCTCCGCTATTGTTATGTGTAAAATAGACAGTACTTGATTCCTATTTTAGACAACAATGGATTTGCTTTCTCTGTCTCTATTGGAGGGTTTTGCCATTTATCCAATACCTGATCTGACCTTACTCAACTCTATTTAAAATTTATCAAAAAAAAATTTTGAATGTAGTCAGTCAGTCTGTGAAAAAATAGAGGATAGATAGAGAGATAGATAGAGAGAGAGAGAGAGAGAGAGAGAGAATAGGTAGATAGATAGATAGATAGATAGATAGATAGATAGATAGATAGATAGATCTGAATAGAGTGCAAACATTTTCACATCACTAATTTATTAAAACAGTATTTACTGGAGCTTGATTATCCTCAGGGAACCTTGGCAGGACACCACAAGCTTACCAGCTAGCCTGAAAAAAAAAACAAATTGACAATGCAGGTTAAAAACAGAGGGTAAAGTTGCACACAATTGCAAATATATGTGAAACCTGCAGTGCCTCACCAAGGTTCCTCTATATACCGTGGTTCTAACTATATTTGAGTCTCCAAGTGTGAGCATATGTATCAATGGATAAAGTAAGGGTAGGTTTGCCTGGAGGGAGCCCACTGGAACACATTGGACACCCAACAAGAGCACAATGGCAGCTAAACACATCCACTGGGCAACCTGGGGCCTGGTGGATGTCCTGGAGCCCCAACTACACTCCTTATTCTCCTTACAGTAATCAACACAATTGATCAAGACTGTGCACCTACCAGTCATTTTATAAGGGAGGGTTTTCTTGGTTGCAGTTGGTGTCTGTTACGATCATGTCATCATGGTCAGTGGAAATGAGGTGGCCCCAATGTCTATTTATCAATGTCAGTTGAAAGGATGGGGTGAGCAAAGCTGCTACCTTGTCTAGGGCCCATTTTGCCTTTATCCATCTCTGCTGTTTGCCAAATGTCCGTATGGCTCATTATGTCAATTTAAAAAGGTGAATAGGAAGAGGAAGTGGAGCACATGCAATGGAGGGGTAAATGAGGAGTTGGTGGAGGTGGAGATGATCATAAAATGTGGAGAAACCAGGAAGTATTTGTACATGATGTAGCAGATCATAAAGATGTGTTTGCATATTCTTACTAAGAACTAGAGCTAATTCTCCATAGCCACCAATCAGATTTATTGGGAAAATAATTACAGATCTTAGTAGGAGGATGTTGATATATCAGTCCTCTTGTTTGTTTCCAAAATCCTAATGAACATTTTTAGGGTGAACATATATAAATCTTTCTCTTGCTCTGTTTTTCTATCTTACCTTCATTTTTAGCCCTTCTCCCAGTGTACTTGCTAAGAAGCATAGGGGTGCGACAATCATAATAAATACAGCATACATAACCTTTTCCAAACATGGCATAGAAACATTCAAAATCAACCATCCAGCATAAAAATATTTATATAGAACCTATGCTACTTACATTTATGCTGTGATGAGCGTAGCCTTAAGCACCTGTGCTTACCATAAGTGCCAGGTAGCATTCGACTACTTCAAACCCAATAAAACCACCAATAGAGTTGTGATGACCAACATCTGATGAGAGGAGGTCAGGCAAACAACTCTTCAGATGGCTGGCAATTGTTCAAGGTCAGTCTTTCAAACTCAGCACAGCACAAAGTAGAGCTCATACCCAACCTAAACTCCCCATGCCACGACAGTAAATCTGGTTCATTATAAAAGTCTTTCAATACGTATGGTACAGCAACACCCCTGAACAGGGCCATGTGTGAATTTGCCAAGGCTCCTCTTCACAAATGCTCAAGTGACCTTAGTACAGTAACCAATCAGATAAATGCTTTCAGAACAGGTTTGACCCTGATAGTGCCAGTTTTTATATTCTTAATAAAAGCAGGTTGCAGGTTCTTGTTGCTTGTAATAACTATATTACTAAAATCTGTCTATCAGTTAGACTTCTATGTTGTTACTCTGTCATGCCGACACCTGATGGAGACATCAAGTGGCTATTTCAACACACATTTCACATAAATGGTTCAATGTGGTCACCATCAGGACACCTGCCATGAGAAATTTCATGCAGTCATTGGTGGAGAGCAGATATAGAGGAAATGGCTGCAAAGTGCTGAAGATGATCAGCAGCACTGAGATGCAACAAAGTATGAAATAAAAGGTAAAATGGAAATTATTGAAAAAGACGTGACAATGTTTTTAGGAAATATATAGGTTTATTTACTAAAGGCAAATAGCGAATGACGTGAAGCTCTGTCGACTTCCATCATCCATCATGAGTAAAGCAAAATAGTTTGTTTTTCCCCTTTATTTTCCTTTCACATGATTGGGTATTCTTCGCAAAGCAAATTTTTACCGCATTCACAAAGCTCTGTGGAAAATTCCCTTGCTAAATGAACAGCCTATTTGCCTTTAGTAAATCAACCTTTATCGTGTTTTATCAAACTAAATGTCATTCAGCTTATATCTACTTTAGTGGGAGCACAATTCTTCCTTATTCTCTAATTTTATCTTTCTCTCTCTTTTTTTCACACTTGCCCTTTCTCTTATGTTCTTGCTAAGCACTAAATTACCGCGACCATTGAGGTTCACACTTTCACAGTAGGTTTTGATATTGCTTGGAAAGTCAGTTCTTCAGTAAAAATTCAGTAAAAATACATTGATACATGACTCATGGTGGTGGAAAGTAAGCATCTTTTCATAACCTATCAGATTGCAGCTGTGG